TACGCATTCCAACTGCGTCGTTTCCGTAACTCGATAATCCATTTCATCAGTATTTGGTCACAGCCTCTATCAGTCTTTAGTGGCTAGACATTTTGAAGGCATGAGATAAAAAGAAAGACTAGTTTCATCAAGAGGGAAAACGTCCTTAGATGACATCTATATACATCACTGGATAAATTCCTGAATCTTCAAATAATTCGCCTGAGACAGTGGCGTAGCGAGGGGGGGGGCAAGGGGTTGTATGATGCCCTGCCAAATGGTCTCCAAACAAGATTCTCATCATATCACTGTATTTTTTTCAGGAGGGCGCCAAAAACGTATTTTGCCCCGGGCGCCAGTTATGCTCACTACTCCACTGGACTGAGATATCATGAGATGCTCCGTTATGATGTTTTATAAAGTAATTTAAATTTATACAACCATACAGTCAAAAGCCAGTCGCTCATCACTTTAATCTGCATATGGTTTTGTCTTTTCCGTTAGCACAAACTCAATTGCTGCTATTTGCTGGTGTATACGTCCAAGTGTTTTCTCTTTGAACACCCAACTACCTTGAAGTACATTCTCCTTTAAATTTTTGCTTTTTTTCCCCTAATTTCCTTCCTTCAGCTCATTTGTTTTCAGTGCTGAGACAAGAAAATTATGATTTTTCGTTTGTTACACTTCCATAAATTTTGCATTGTTGTGAATTTTTTAAATATCAGTAAATCAAATGCGTTTCAGCTGAAGACAGCTTTTCATTTTCTAGACATTTCGATTATAAATAAAGTTTACAGAAAAGTGCAAAGGATTAATATTTGAATTAAAAGATTTTTGTTAAATGAAAAGGAAATAAACCACTCCAGCAGCGCTTATCCTGTACCATCGAGTGATTCGATTCTTATACCGGGTGCAAACAATCTAAATCATATGATTTAGAATTTTTAAGCCTAATTTCTACATTAAAGATTTTTTTTTTTTAAATCTACAACATGAGAGAAAATTACTACTTAAACATTTACGAGAAGAAATGAAAAATTTGTATTTATATATATATATTTTAAAAAATACTGTCAACGACTTGTTTGCTTAAAAACATTATGAAAATAAACATCAAACGAACTTTCTCAGTTTTAGACAATTCATTTTAAATTAAGTTAAAGTAAAGTAGCAGACGAAACTTCTTTGGCATTGGCATCACAGTAGCTTGGCGATTTTTTACGGCCCTCATAACGAAAGTGTACCAATTATTTAAAATAACAACAAAAAATGTGTGATTTATTTGGAATGAGCTAAATTCGAATGTGAAAGGAAAAATCAAAAAAGCATAAAAAAAAAAAAAAAAAAAAAAAGATATAATAATAATGCCAATCAATTAACATTGAGAAGTATTTTAAAAACTACTCGTACAATTTACAAAACTTGCAGCCGGCATAATTTGAGTATTACATCGAAATATGTAAAAACAATGGTATGTTATTCAAAAAGTCCGATTTTGTGTCCAATACTATGTTAGAATAGTGCTACATAAAGCTAATATACGAGGGTTGGAACTTAATAGTGGCAACTATTTTACAGGAATACAAAGTGTTCATGTCACCATGTTTACGTCCTTCAATATAGCCCCACATGGTACAACCCGTTTCCAAGATGTGGAATTCGCAGAATACTGTAGCAGCCCTGTTTTTTGATAGTTGAATGGACCGGTCTACTCCACAAGAATCTCAGGAACAGTTTGGAAGCGAGTGCACAAGTGGTCCTTCATCTTAGGAATTAAGTCATAGCACAAGGGCTTAGATCTGGGTAGTATGTGATGGAAAAACGTCCAGCCCCACGCTTGAACAAATCAGTCACAGCTTGCGCGATGCGGCGAGCATGTCACCAAATGAGAGGAGTTTCTGCAAAAGTGTCGCCATTTTTTCTCAAAGCTGGCGGAGATTGTGCTCCAAAAATGAGCAGTAATACTGAGCAGTGACGGTCTGCTGTGGATGACACATCACAGTCGTACACGAGAATCACCGTAACTTTCACATGCTGGGTTCTGCGAAATTCGACTCGTGGTGATCCGTGATGACCCATTAGTTTGTTACATTTCAGTTCTGGCTGGTACGATCGGCCCAGTCTCACCACGTAATATCGGCATAAAAAACTTCTCCTTCGTGCTCTAGCGCTCCGTGGGTTTGGGCAGCATAGTATCGAGCCATTTCTGCATTTCCGTCAATTATTGGAACCCATCGCGAAGCAATTTTCTCATGGACAGCATTCCTTCAGATGTGCGCCACAGTCGTACACGCCATCCTGTTTGCGGCCAGCTGCAACTCGTTGGCAGCGATCACTGTCCATTAGTGCGGCAACACTTGCACGTCTGCTGGCTGACATTCGACGACCTGCACGCATTCTGCCATGTTGGCCTTCATTGAATGCTTTCACCCCTTGCTACGATCTGTAGCAATGCAGATTCTCGAAGCCTCTTGAAACCCTGATGACACTCTCGTGCGGACGCCTCTGATATTCAATTTTTATGCAACATCGTTGTTCTTGTTTGAAACATCCGACACTTACTTAGACGCGAGCTATAAAGGATCCGTTCTTCGCGTCACTCCGCATGCCGACTAGCGTCGAGTCTTTTTGCTGAGAGTAGGTAGTATGTATTTACGTGTGGTATACGCGATATTCTTTAGTTTTGTTGCATAGCGTTTTTTCAGCTGTGTTGCCACTATTAAAGTTCCAACCCTCGTATATCCTAAGTCATGCTTTTGAGACATGAAAAACGCAGCAATTTGAATTCTGTCAATCGGCCCAGCAGAACGAGAAACTTGTCCAATTTTATTATTTTGCGCAGTGTATCTAGAGCCATAAAATTTTCAATCACGTACGTTTTCACCCGAATATGGGCATCTTTAAGTCTAAATGTGGAATTTGTTTTACTACCTATTTCATATTTTGTAAAGCATTTATGAGTTTATGATTAAGAAACTTAACAATTTCAAAGCGAGCAATGGCAACACTGTACATTAAAAATTCTAAAGATATGCCCTTTTAAATATTTTGCGATATTGCTGTTGGATTGAATTTTATAGTTTCAGTGCGAAGAACATGATATTGTTACGAAATGTCCAGGCGCGGTAAGATAGCTTCCCCGCAAAGCAGGGTTTAGAGCTGCCATAAAATGCCAAAAGAAGGCAGGGTTGCCACATTTGACGAAAAATAGCCCATTTGGCGGCATCATCGGTGATATGCCATGGACGGATGGAGAACCTTCTGGAACGAATTCTTACCGGTTTAGCCCAGTGTGTTCTCGAAACACAAGCCGAAAGCTATATAAACCCTGCTGGTACCCGAAGAGTTAGTAAGTCTGTGCGGAGTCCAACGAGTTGATAGTCAATGAGTGCCGAGCTGGTTGCCAAGCGCACCAAAAGAGTCTCTTAGTGTATCGTTGAGAGAGTGTGTTGAGCTTTGGGAATGATTGAATCAAGAGCTGTACTCTTGTATATCGTCGAGTGCATCGTGAATTGTAGCATGGAGACTCTCGAGAGTATGTGGAGTTCCGGGAATGACCAAGCAGAGTCGGGAACTGTACTCTGATGCTTTGCCGTGAAGCTGTTTCCACCTTTATAGCCTGATAGTGTGAAGGCTCTGTTGCTGATTGTGTTAGTGTGTGTATAGTTCTTCGACAACTGTAAAAATGTGTTTTGGAGCTGTCCTGAAAATACTGGCCAATAAAGTGTGTTTTGATACTTCATAAAGTATCGTCGCTACTCACACCAAACCCTGTACGTACGTAACGTAAAGGAACAAAATAATGCAACAATATTTAATAAATAAAAGTAACACACAAAAAGTTTAAAAAAAAAATAACCTCTTTGGGCATAATATAAAATCTGAAGGCTTTCAGATTTCGGATGACTTTACTTAATCTTGTCTAAACAGCACAATAAAGATCTGCAGTAATGGTATGGCCACACTCCAGATACTGGATCAGGACAACAAATCACAGCTCACACCTCCAAGCGAGACGACTTTTCTAAACGTCTTGCCATTTTCAATTGGTCTAACACATCTGCAAACTTACTCTACCTATCCGCACAACTGTTGCCATCTGCCTACACTCTGGGGATAACGAAAATTACTTTTCACATACTGTTGTTTGTAACCATTTCTTTCGAATCAATCTACGTATGCTTTCAACAATGGTATTACATATAATGTGGGTAAATAATATCCAAATAAATAAACAAAGTTTTAAAAATGATTCTTTACTTTCTTTCTAAGGATATTAATTATTATTTACTGGTTACTATTCAAATCATGAGCTCTTTTATTTAGAATTGATCCATGCTTTCGTTTTTAACTTCTCCAAGTTTTTCAAAAAATTTCCGATTTTCCATTACTTTCTGAAGTTTTGATTTTTTCAGACCTTCCAGCTAAATGGGAATCCTGCACATAATTATGTTTTAATTTATATGGAAACTCTATTTTCACATATGCTTTAATTGTCACCCAAGCATCAAAACAGTGATGAGATGCAAGCCTTGTCTGTTTCAGACTGTTCAGTGTTCAACCTTTGTAGAGTTGCATCTGCAGTCTTCTTGTTTTAAATTTTTATTGTTTGCAACAGGAGTACATATGCTGAATGATTATTTATATCACTTCTGTTGCAGACACTGTTGTGCAGACTCTTAGCCTGAATTTAACAAGTTAATGTGAACTTCAAATTATTAACCAGAATAAATGATTGAAGTATTTTTTGATATATTTTTGAAATAAAAAAATCTGCAGAATTGTTATTTAAAAAAAATAATTATTCATATTTTGTATGGTGTTTAAAAAAATCAAGATGTTCTCGTTTTGAAATAATTTAATAATCTAATTACTATTTTATTCATTAATAAATCATCGGATTTATTTATGAATAAACTACTCTCAGTGTAAATTAATTCTATTAGAGAATAAATATAAAAAAAGCATGACAGCAAGCTAATATTACAAACTTAAATCATTATGAGTTAAAATGCAAGACATTTAGCAAAAAACTTTATTTTTAAAAACTGCTTCATTTACAGAAACACAAAGAATCTGAGAGACATTTATACATAACAAGGAAATCATATATTTGAAGGGGCAGGGGAGAAAAATCAAGCTTATGTTGAAATATTCCATATATTTATATATGTGCAAGTGTTAAATTTAAAATCGAAAGCTGTACGAAAACCACAACTACAACAGTTTTAAGTATACCTGGCTAAAAGTGCCTGGTTTTAAAAAATAAAGCTGCTTCAGACGTGACTCAAGAACACGTTTATATAAATTAATGAGTGTAAAGATATGATACATACATTCAGAAACTTCCAAGTATTTTTCTCACTAGGATTCCCATTTATGCAGATATATGAAGGCTAAGGAGAACATGCATAGTTGAAGTCCAACCCAGCCGAAGGACATAAAATTACAATTTAGCTTCAGCAAAAGCATTAGTTTATTATACAATGTGCTGCCAATGAGGCAGAATATATTACCTGAAATGGAAGCCATTCACCTGAGCACTTGATACGTTTTTCAAATCATTCATATACATTGTGCATTGTTTTTAAAACCTTTGTTTTGTTATCAGTGGTGTAGCTAATGTGTGTGTAGGGGGGGGGAGAGAAAATTAATATTCCAAGGAAAGTACAAGTAAGCTTAGAGGCTTCTTCCTTTCACATCAAAATAAAATATAATTCTCTTTACTATAATTTTGTTTTCTTATACTTTTATTAAAAGGCAATTTCACTCTTTTAACACTTTTCCTCGCCCCCACCCCAACTTGAATCACCATTAGTAGACATTTATCATCAAAAGTTAAGAAATGAGAGAGTGCATTTTTTATATACTCAATGATATAACATTGCTTATTTAGCCCATATTTCTATATAACATATTACAAAATCTAATTGAGGTTACCTTTGTGTTATGTTTGATTATTAATTCAGTAAATGAATATAATTAAAAACTGCTTAAAATTCATGACAGCAACTAAAAAAGGAAATATATTATATTTTAGAGCTTAATTATAGCTGACAGTTCTAAGAACTATTGAACACATACAATTTGTCTCAGGCTGAATTTGCAATGAAAGAACAGGTTGGCTGTATCCCTCTTTTAGCAGTTTATCACTGTGTTATATGAAAAGAGGCAGTGTTCCTTAGGAAAGGGCAGACTGTTTCCCAATGTAAAAACAAATTTATATTAGTAAAAAGTGTCATTAATTAACATTTTATTTGTATTTACTATAAGGTAAATAGAAATTATCCGTGTTTGTTTTGAATTTTTTATACCAAACCAGTGAAATATGCATATAATTAAAAAAAAAAGATTCCCTTTCGTGCCCACCCCCAAAAAGGCTTCAAAACCAATAAGCTACACCACTGTCAACAAGATCCATAATGAAATAAGCAAATGGGAAAGAAATCGGACATGTTTTCAAAGATTGCAAACACAGAAAACAAGAAAGAAAGAAAAAAAAAAAAAAATTATTGCACACAATCAAATACAGTTCATAATAGTAATAATGACTGAGTTCAGGCAGTAATGAACCATACAAAAAAATGAAAATAACATGCTGCACCTCAGTGACATTTATTTAAAAAAAATGTTCCCATTCTGAAATACTTCAGAAACGTCTAATTATAAGCCTTTTGCAATGATAAGAATTTGAAGCAACATTTGATACTTACACCAAACGCTTTTTCATAAACACTCAAATAAAGCTTTTTTTTTCCCTATCTCTAGCACTTTAAATAATAGGTTGGATATTTACAATAGTAGCAACACAAGAATCTAGGCATTAGCATTCACATAAAAGAAACTAAAAGGCTTAATTTAAACTAAAATAATAACAAAGTTTAGATGCAACAATTTGCTTTGGAATAATAGCTCATTTTATGTAAATTAAACAAAATTTCCAATAAATGAAAGTTGTGCTATTTATTTAAATGTGGTGGAAACAACAATTTTCCAATTATTAATGCTCATACAAATTAAAATATTTACAAAAGAATGTCTAAATGATTTTATTTTAATATATAAATCTTAAATTATTTATATAAATATCTGTACACATACAATATTAAATGATGCAGCAATGTAACATCATAAAACAGATACAGTAATTTACAAGGAAATTTTACATGGATTGAAAGAAAAATTTACCAAATAAACACTTTTTTAAAATGCACATACAGACAACAAATCATGCAATCTGGCTCTGCCAATTGCTCTTTTCTTATTATCAAAGTATAGTTCATGAAAAACATTCACGAATCCATAACACAAAATGAGCAGATTCATGAGGTGGTTCAATTGAAATAGTATTTACAATTCAAAAATATACTATGTTCTAATTTATTTCTAATTGTAAAACTTTAAGTCTGCTTTAAGAATAACATTAAATATTGAGGAGGTAGATGCCTGTAGTGTGCAATATACCACTAAATACTTCACTAATGACCTTTTACAGATTATATTTGACTTAAACAAATTCAATGAAAAAATTTTTTCAACAACAATTTTATAATGCTTGAGCATAATTAACAGCAAAAACTGCACAACAAAATAACATTTTATTATTAAGTATTAATGTGCGGGCAGGATGGGTGTCTATTATAGGATAAAAACCTAATTTTTCAAACGATACTATTATCAGCTTTGTTTATATTACAATGATAGATCAATCTTAACAGTAATTATTTCTAACATTAGAAATACCTTTAGGAAAATTTTTATCCTTTTTGCTTCTTTGAATAAAAACAATCTATAGTTTAAACCAGTTCAAATACCTGAATTTTTTCATACCCATAAATTTACATTCTATATCATTTTTCTTTGATTTAATCCATTTCAAAACAAAATCAATATACTGAATTTATGCCAAAAGTTACGGTATAATTTTATAAGTGAAGCTAATACGGTAAAAAATCACTTAAGTGAATATAAAGATATTTTAGAACTAGATCTTTGATTGAATATTCATCCGTACCTGATACTTTGTTTCTGGTAGTTTGAAAGAAAACTTCATGATACTCTATTGCAATTTTTTTTTTTTTTAATTTAACTTTTAGGATCTAAGTTTTTTATTATCAAAAAGGAATTAAGACTTAACAATTGATTAATGATTGTTTTAGCTAACATTCGATGTTTTAAAATCCTGAAGTAAATAACACCCTGAGCATGGTAGGTAACAGTATGTTTAACAAACCTTGGCCTAAACTTCACTTTGCTCCATAGAACAAATACATAAAGCTCAGTTCAAAGAAACCAGACTTAAGTGTGTGCAATATATTAGATCAGAGAGTTCATCACAGTTCAACCTTTTCAAAAAATGACAAATAAAGGCATAAGAAAATTTAATGCTCACATTTCTCAATTTATTTATTTAAAAATATTAGATAATGGCAGTATTTTGCTTCTGAATAGTACAGAGGAAACACTAATATGAACTGATATATATATATATTAAAAAAAAAAAAACATTTATTATCACTTAACAAACGAAAGAAAATGACTTGTGACCATCACACTTATGTTTAAAGGAAAATGCTGCAATAATAAATAATACACATATGAATATAGCCATAGTTCTTCACTGTACACAAATATATTTTTCGTTTTCCCTTTGCAAGATGCCACTGGTCTTATTTATTCATTAATCACTTAACCATTAAGAACAAATTTAAAAAAAAAAAATAATTTGGCTTCATTTTTCAAAATTAGCTACAGCAAAACACTCCTATTAGTGCACCCATGGAAAATGCATAAGGAAGCTGCAAATATGTTACTAAGAAAAATCTTGGCTTGTATTAAATAATTTTTTTTTATCACTTCTCTTCAAACCATCACACAGAATACTGGAAACTTTCTTTGAAATGCAATGTAAATTTACAGATTCGAGCATCCCTCTTGGCTACGCCTGATTAGAAGTCACCGGAGATTCTTCATGATTTAACACATACACATGCAAAATTTACATGTGTCATATAATAAAAGCCATGCAAAGGGATAGGCTCGCAACTCTACATAAACAAAAATTGCTGCTACACTATGTACAAAAAGATCATGTCTTCCAGTTGATGGAACCTTGAGGAAGTGACCGCGGTGGGATCATGTCCAGCAAATACTGGCGTTGTAATTCTGCAGAGCTCATAGGAGATTTACCAAGAAGCTGATATGAATATGCCTGAGCAGCCAGTAATGGAGCAAATGGCAACATGTGGGCTGGTTGAGGTTGGGGCATTGTCTGTGCAAAATGTTGCAACTGTTGTGCCTGTGCATGGAGAAGAGACTGATGAGCTGCACTCAACTTTGGTAAGTGCTGTAATAATGAAGCAGAGTTTACCATGGCAGCCTGAGAATTATTCCCACTGCTGCTAGAACCCATTTTAGACATAAGACCATGCACCGGACTGTGTGGTGCAGGAGGTGTTGGTATTGAAGGTCCACTTGATGTAACAATAGCAGGGGTAGGAGTAGAACAAGGGGTATGAGTAGGAGAAATGCCAATAGGAGGAGGACTTGGCATGGCTTGGGACATTCGCTGTTCTATCTCTTGCTCCTGTTGCAAGGCTTTCACAAAAGCAGTTTTTAAACGATTTGTGTGCTCTGCTTTTAAAGCTTTCTTGATATTTGATGTAACACATGTTTCACAAATAACTGAAGGCTTGTGCATACGAGATCGGCCTGCATCTTGCCACTTCCATACTGGGCTAAAATCAGTACCGCACTGAACACATTCAAAAGGCTCTGGTGGAGGACGATTGATGTTTGGATCCTCTGTTATGAAATCAACAACCTTTTCAAGTCCCAGCAGACAAATAAATTCTTGATTGTTAGCATTTGGAACAAAATGCATTTCTGGTGGAGGTGGTTTAGGAGGTGGAATTTGTAAAAGAGTTTTCTCCAATTGTTTTCGTAATGCTAATTTTGCAGCTGCTTGCCTTTGAGCTGGAGTCTGGTTATCTAATCTTTCTAACTGAGATTGTTGTATTGTTGAAGATGGTGATGGACAAGCTTGAGGTGTAGCCTAGACAAATGTAAAATAACATATTACTGAAAAGTACACTTTAAAATTATTATTAGCCATATTTCAATAATGCATCTGATTTAATTATAAATCAAAAGTAAAGGACAAGCTGATATTATAATAAGTCAAATAAAATGTGCTCTTGTAACAGTTGTTTCTTCCTTGGCTGGACTATATTTTCACTCAATTGTGCATCATAGAACAAAACAGCTCACCTCAAAATAATTATAACTGTAATACAGAGAAGACAGCTGTAATATAGAGAAGAGCTGGTATATACTAAATATAGTAATATAGAAAAGATACTCATTATTCAAATGTTATTTTCAAAAACCAATATCTGATATTGATTACGGACTATATTTTGCACATCATAAAATATTAATATTTATAAATAAAATGTTGACTTAAAGCCTTTAGAACATTAATTTACAACAAGATGAATTCATATACTTGGACATGAAATTTTTGCCACCAAAGTTTTTTTCCTCATTTTCTCATGAATTTATTAGAAATTTTTAAGACTATAAAATTAGATTTTACTTTTCTTCTGCTCAAAAATTATTAGTATCTGCATAATTCAAGCATATGTAACTTCAAAAATGATGCTACTTGATTATGAAATTAGTTGAATGAAACCTTATGAACATATATTCTTGTTACTTTCAAAAACAAATTAATGTTTATGTAATGTAATGTAAACAGAATATTTCATGCAACACATCACAAAAATGAGCATTGCACTTGTGTCTTACTTCAAATAATAATGAAATTTTGGATATTCCATCTATTTTAAAAGAAACAGAGAAAGACAAATATGAAGCATGTTTTTAAAAGCATGCTGTTAAGTACTATGAGGGCAGATCAAAAAGTAAGTTGCACTTCCAAGTTATGACCATTTATTGAATTGTCAATACAAAAGCAACACTTCTATGTCAGCATACAATGTAAATTCACTTTTCCACATAGTTCCCAAGACACTCTAAACATTTCTCCGAACAAACAACCAACTTTTCGATTTCGGATACATAGAAATCTCCTCCAGCACCATATAACCAAATGCAACTGCTTTCATCTTTTCATCATTTTGGAATCACTGTCCACCGAGATGCTTTTTAAACTTAACAAAAACATAAACGCAACACCTCACAAGGCTCACCAAACGTGTGACCTGCTGCAGCGATTTAAGTGGGAGGTTTGGCAACATCCTTCATACAGTCCTGATTGAGCACCATGTGACTTTTTATGGGTTCATATACAAGGGAAATTATAAGTTCTGTCGTATTTTAAATAGGCAGGTGATTTTTCTTATAAATAAAAAAAAATCTGGCTAGTGAGTCAATCGGATTTTTTTTTGTTTTTTTAGCTGCTGTATAATATAAAAGGTGCCCTTTTTTACCATTCATCATTTACTTGTAATATTTAAAGGGAAAAACATGTCGGTAGATAAAGTGCATTTACGACACTGCATTTTATATGAATTCCAAAAAGGAAGCAACGCATCTGTTGCATGTAAAAATTTATGTGCGGTATTTGGAAAAGATATTGTAAATGTTCGTACTTGTCAAAGATGGTTTAGCAAATTTCGTTCTGGGGACCTGAGCCTCAAAGAAAGTGTTCGATCTGGACGACCATCCAAGATCGATAATGATGTTTTGTGATCCATGTTGGAAAATAATCCACATTTAACAAGTCGAGAAATTGCAGAAGAGTTTGGCATTCATCATACAACTGTTGGAGATCACATTAAATCTCTTGGGTTTGTGTTAAAGCAAAGTGTTTGGGTTCCACATGAATTAACGGAAAAGAATTTGTCTGATCGTGTAAGAATATGTTCATCACATCTGATTAGACACAATGTGGAGCTGTTTTTGGACAGGCTGGTTACTGGAGATGAAAAGTGGATTCTTTACGAGAATATTAAAAGAAAAAAATCTTACTGCAAACCAGGAACATCATCAACAACAGTTTCAAAACCAAGTATCCATCAACGAAAAGTACTGCTTTGTTTGTGGTGGGACAGGAAAGGTCCAGTGTATTACGAGTTGATGAAACAGGGAAAAAACATCAACGCGGATCTGTACTGCAATCAGCTGGATAAATTGAATGCAGCTATCAAAGAAAAAAGGCCAGCATTAGCGTCCAGAAAAGGAATGTGTTCCATCACGATAATGCTCGCCCGCATACTGCAGTGGTGACACTACAAAAATTGAATGCGTTAGGATGGGAAATCCTTAGTCACCCCCCGTATTCACCTGATACATTGCACCCTCTGATTATTACCTGTTCAGATCTCTGCAAAATTATCTAACAGGAAAAAAATTCAAGTCTTTTGAAAGTGTTTTTCTAAGGCAGTTGCTGACTATTTTAACTCCATGGATGAGAACTTCTACAAAACAGGAATTTACAGGTTACCTGAAGATGGCAACAGGTTGTAACACATAACGGAGCATATATAATTGATTAATATTAAACACATATTTTTATAAATGAATTCAAATATTTTCTTTAAAATACGACAGAACTTTCCCTCCAACCCAATAGTTTGGGACCATGATTGTATATCAGTAATATCAGTCCCATGTGTTGTAATCTGAGCACATGATCAATAATCTTTAAAATTTTATAACAGGATATTAGAGATAAATTATTTTATATAACGTTTTCAATTAATTATTGTTTCACTCCTTTTCCTTTTTTAAATCATTTTTATAACTTCCTTATCATTTTATTATTTAATTATAACATTGTTAATATTTTGAAATTTATTAAATATGAATTTCAATTTTTGGTCTTCGTGAAAAATTAGTTCTAAATTTCTTACTTTGTGTCTTTACTGATAATTTTTCAGCAGCTTAACCCATTAACCGCCAAAACTGTAAGGAATGATTCTTTTCTCATGAAAATAATAACAAATATTAAATTAAGCATTTATAACATAAATTTACATTGAAAATTTAAAAAATGCCTTTCCTTGTGGAAAAAGGTGAGTGTTGCATTCGTGCAATGTCAGCGGAATAAGACTACGGATGTTTAGTGAATAGGATTGTACTCGTGCGATGTTTTCTTTGAGTAGAGCACTGGATTACTTTTTAGCTACATAACGTTTCATAAATCTACAGATCACTTGTAATTAATTTAATATTAAAATATACATTTTATTTCTTTTACAAATACAGATTATTTCGATTGAATGATTCAAGCATGAAAAGCTTCACTGCAATCATGATGTAAAGTTACATTACATACTTTCATCTATAAACAGTCTGGCTATGGCACTCTTTACTACGAAGTCTTTTGTTATCATTGGACTTTACGATAAAATGTCTGCCATCTCCATGCAGTGGTTTCTGAATGCTGAATTTACTAGGTCTTCATGTTGCTGATCTATTTCTAGCTAATTCTACAATCTCAATAGGAGTTTGCAAAAGGAATAATGCAATCTCGTGCCTGAAATCTAAAAAAGACTTTTCATTTCCAGTAGTAGAAAGTCGTGATATTTAGTAAGTTTATTTACATTCTCACCTTATGTAATTTATCAGTATTGTCAATTTGACTACTGTGAGCTAAAGGCAAATTCTGCTTCATATTCCTGTACTGCAAACACGATATCGATTCTCGTACAATAAGAACAGAAATGTCCTTATCAAGAGACCAATACATTTCTTCTTGAGGTAAAGAAGGATATCCCGTTAGCAATAATATTCCAATAAATCTACCCATATAAGCTTCAGATGCAATAAATTCTGGGAATCTTGTTGAGCGTATACATTTGTCTGTTCAACAAGAAGAGAGTAAATGTCTAACTAAAAAGAAAATCGAAAATCTCTCCAATAGTCTTACCTTGTATTTTGTCTTTTGTAGTTTCTGTTCTATCTCTTTCTTTTTTTTCTACCTGAGACATAACTGGCAGTTCCTTTTTTATCCATTTCAAGTTTTCAGCTTTTTAAACTTTTTGTATTACTACCACTGCTTGTAGGAGGCTGAAACTTACTTCTTACATGAATTTCAACTTCCCTAGCAATATCATTTGGTAAAATATCATTACCAATATTTAAAACGTTGCCGCTCCCTTTTTCTTCATCACTAACTTCTGCAATTTCTGGGGGAACAACAACAATATCAGTTTCATTCTGGTCATTATTAACATTATCATCGTCTGTTTCTTCATCAAAAAATCTTTGAAGAGCTTTTTCTAATGTAAGATATCTTGCTATATAGGCATTTTTAAAGCAGCCAGAACATCGAGGAATGAGTAAAAAAGGAGATTACTCGTTTCCTGATGATGATGATGCACCTGTTTTCCCTTCCTTCCCAACACAAATATAAACATCTGAATGATGTAATGTTCTGATAAACGGTGACCTTGACTAAAAATAGATCATTCATAAAGACGGCGATTCTCTCGTTAAATATTTTCGGCAAAAATATCCGGTCTAAGATGTTTTTAAAATTTTGCTTAAAGTATGAGATTAATTATTATAAATAAAATAATTGTTGAAGGCAAATATTTTTTTTACAGAAATAATATTCATAATATTCCCTACACACAATCATCTGCTGGTATAAAATATCTTACATAGTTATATTCACACGCATTTATTTTGATCGTCGCGTCAACGCAACACCAGCGGCTAATGGGTTAATGCAAAGAAATACTAGGGCATGTTTATACATTTTTTTGTAAAGTTTTGTAATTAATAATATTTTATATATACCCTGCATTCGAAATATTCTACTTCAAGCCATGGTCCAGCAAAAGGATCCCGGTTTTATTCCACAGTTGCTTAAGATCACCAATGCCTACTTTACAAATGTTTTAATTTTTTAAAAAATGCTTTTCACACACACACTAAAGAAGACCAATTTTCAAATAATGTCAATAATTGTTTAAATAAAAGTTTTCTTTCCTTTTCCCCAATTAATTGGGAAGTCCTTGAATACGAGAAAGAAAAAATGACAACAAATTTGTTATGCAGTTTTTTAAAAAAATTATTTATTTAAATTTCAAACTATTGCTTTTCCAAAAGTACTGAAAATCTGGCATTTTCAAATACTTTCAAGGAATATATGAACTTTAAATTAAGACTACTTTAACATGCTTTGATTCAATTATCTAATTCACTAAATACAATCTTTTAAAATGTACCAATATAAAAAAAAGTACATTTAGTTTTACAAACCTGAGTCATAGGTATCTGATGTTGATTACTTGGAACAGGCTGTTGCATATTATGCAGATTGTAACCCATCACCATATTTGGAGGTGTTGTAACTGGAGTTCGAGAGACAGAATTATGACTGGGTCTCATCATTCCAGCTATCATATTAGAAGACACTGTGGAACTTGCACTGGTGCTGCTCGCTCTTTGTCCAATAAGTGGCGGAGGACCACCATGAGCATTTTGACTGCACATCTAAAATCCAGATATAAAAGCTTGGGTATAATATGCAGTGTAAGATACAGTAACTGCATTAACATCAAACATGTAAATGAAATGCTTTATGGTAAAAATAAAAAATACAGAAATATTCCTTTATTTGATTTTAAGAAATGAGGTATCACAGATTTTGTTTCTTCAGGGTTAAATTATCAATAAAATATAGGATATTTTCTTCATACAAAAGTAATAATGGAAACAAAAAGGAATAAATTCTGAATTACCCCTTTTTTGCCCATATACCTCTATTCATTGAAATGGGGTGATGCAATTTAAATTTTGGGGACCCGGGGAAACGATAGTCAGGTTTGTTTTTATAAAATATAGAAAAGGCTTACTTTTGCATGCTTGAAAATAGTCATTCTTAATGTATTTTGAATGAAATAACCTTAAAAACTTTGCTTAGCCTATTGTAAATATATTTTTTCATTCAAATTGCATAACAGAAATATTACACGTCCATAATTTGAAAACGATAATTACATTTTACAGCAAGACTAAAATAAATGGCATACGGCACATTTCCTTCCCAACACAAAATCAAACAGGATAGAGGAGGGGGGGGGAATAAACTTGCACAGAATGGCAAAAACTCAATTGGTATATACTTTAACATTAAAAAAATATATATATTTCAATGCCATTTTTCATTTATCTTTAGAGAAATAATGTTCAAATTTTAACTGATAAATGTATCAATAACAAGAAGATTTACAGCCTATTTCTGCATACAAACACATTGCAATCACTTGTTTAGTTTAGAAAAAAAGAATTTACTTTTAAATGCTAATAAAAAAATACATTCATTTAAAAAGAAATACAAACAGAGTCACTCTTAATTTACTTCGCTTTAAAGTGAGAGAACATGGAGAATGATAGCAAACGAAATATTTGTGAGAATAATTAAAATTCATTAAAAGAAATTCTGAGTCTCATAAAAGGTTGGATGATTACACTATAAAAGTTGAAAATTTATGAACACTAAGCTATTAAAATTACACAGAGATTCACTTTGAATTGCAATGAAATTCATATTTATTAAAATCAGATTCCTCTCAGTAAAATAGGTACTCTCCCGTTATCAGGACCGGATTCAGAAATGTAGGTAAGTATATACATGTGTGTGTTTATATGTGTGTACACATGCATGCATACATGCATACATTTTCGTGTACTATATGCATGCATACATTTTCAGAATCCGGTCCTGATAATAGAAGCGCACTGTAAAATATCTTAAAGTTAAAAATGATCTAAAATCTTCAAAAATGGAATTAAGCTAAATGCTATTATTTTTACATAAGGAGTGAAAAATCAATTGCATTGATAAATAAATATAAAAACATATATAGTACTATTTAAAAGCATATAGAGTATCAGGAGTACAAATAAGTCTTCGTCTTTTCTCTCTGTCTTATTAGAAACTTGGCATTTATTCTGAATGAATGTTTATGATATGTTTTATTCATTCATGTTTAGTTCAATATCTTGCATTACATTGTATCCATCACTAGCCACAACTTTTTCTCAACTTTCAGGCAGTGTATGGATATCGCGGACGAATGCTTCATCTTTCAAGATCACTTCTTCATTAATTAATCCAATTTTTGGTATCTTCATATGATATGAAGTGCTACTTCATATCATATAGGAGTACAGGCCATGCATTTGAAACTAGTAATATCAAATGATGATGATGTTTTTAATTATGGCAAAGCACACTAGGGCTATCTGCCTAAAGGGAAGGGATGCCTTTGTGAAGGACTTTCTAAGGGAAACAGGCTCGTATACACGTTACACATGAGGAAAACCACGAAACACCCATGCAGCCAGCCCGTTCGCGGGATTCGAACCTCGGACTGAACTACCAGTGTTCAGTGACTTTACAGTAATATCAAAAGGAGCAATGTCTGGCGAATATAGCGGGAGGGGGAAAACTTCTCATCTGAATATTTCTGAGTAAATTTTGCAACATGTGGAGCATTATCATGCAGGAGAATAATTTGTCATATTTGTAGTAGGCACATTTATCTTTGAGTGCTCAGCTCAATCTTATCAACTGTGTTCGATAGAGAGCGTTCCATTCGGTCTGAGCAACTCAAAAAACATGACACCAAGTTAAGCCCACCATATACACAACATGCTTTTTTCTTCCCCCAGTTTGGCTGTCGATGTTGAAGCATGGCCAGTGGTCCCCTTGTTTTCTTCTTTTTGTCTCCATTTTCATCATCAGTGACCGTATGATTCAAAAAACTCTTTTGTTTATGCCTGGTAGAAAGCATTTCATATGTAAAAAATCTGCATTCAATGTTTCTCGACTTCAGTTATTTCGTAGCTTTTGAAGAATTTCAAGTGCTACGAATTTCAAGTGTTAAGAGCAAATTCTATTTGTGTTTTGCACGAATCTTCATCCAGTAATGCTTCCAATTTCACGTCTGCATACACTGTCATCCTTCTGCTCTGCCTTCACATTAAAATCACAATTCTTAAGCTTTTGAAACCACTAAGGCAGCCTCACTATATGCTTCTACAAGCAAATGATGCATCTCAGCTGCAGGTTTCTTCAAATTAAAGAAGTAAATCAAAAGTTCCTGTAAATGATGCTCTTTCTGCTTAAAACTCAACATTTTCACAAGAAAGAAAATATACAATGCTGATATAAAATCGTTAATATTTCAAGGTTATGGTATTAGCAGACGTCCAACATTACGCTATGACATTTTATATCGGACAATTTTAACCATAACTTACTGGTGGTGCCATTTTTTTTTTTTTTCATTTTATATCTAACAATTTTGTCGCGAGCAACTCAACGATTGTATAAATGTAATTTCTTTATAGCAGACGTCCAACATTACGCTATGACATTTTTAAATTGGACAATTTTAACCATAACATAAATAAATGCGTATATAAATATAACTACCTAAGATATTTACCCAGAGATATTTTGGTGTAGGGAATATTATGAAGATATTTCTGTAAAAAAATATGCTTCAACAATCATTTTTTTTATAATAATACTCAACTTTAAGCAAAATTTCGACGCGGGGGCCCATTTTTTTTTCATTTTATATCTAACAATTTTGTCGTGAGCAACTCAACGATTGTATAAATGTAATTTCTTTAAAGGTTAATTTTACGGTTTGGCAACATTGTATCGTTTTTATGTTTTAGAATAAATAAAGTAAAAATGCACTATGACTTTGCATTAACGTGGATTGCCTGTTTTATAGTGAGTTAATTAAGGTGGATTGCCAGTTTTACAGTGAATTAATTGGGTGGATTGCCGTACTACTTAACTATAAGTTTCTCTTGTCTCTTAAGTGGATTGCCAGTTTTACAGTGAATCAATTGGGTGAATTGCCCGTATTTAAGTTTCTCTTTACATTTCTTTTAACCCTGGTGTTGCGTTGACGCAACGGCCAAAATAAATGCGTATATAACTACCTAAGATATTTTATACCAGCAGATGATTTTGTGTAGGGAATATTATGAAGATTATTTCTGTAAAAAAATATTTGCCTTCAACAATAATTTTGTTTATAATAATTAATCTCATTCTTTAAGCAAAATTTTCGACCGGGTATTTTTGCAGAAAATATTTAACAAAAGAATCGCCGTCTTTATGAGTGATTTATTTTTAGTCAAGGTCACGGTTTATCAGAACATTACATCAGTCAGATGTTTATATTTGTGTTGGGAAGCAAGGGAAAACAGGTGTTGCGCTGATGCAACGTCAGCAGGAAACGGGTAATCAATCTCCTTTTTCACTCATTCCTTTCGATGTTCTGGTTGTTTAAAAATGCCTAGAACGAGGTATCTTACATTAGAAGAAGCCCTTCAAAGATTTTTTTGATGAAGAAACAGATGATGATAATGTTAATAATGACCAGAATGAAACTGATAGTGTTGTTGTTCCCCAGAAATTGCAGAAACTAGTGACGAAGAAGAAAGGAATGGCATTGTTTTAAATAATGATAATGATATTTTACCAAATGATACTGCTGGGGAAGTTGAAATTCACGTAAGAAGTAAGTTTCAGCCTTCTAAAAGCAGTTATATTCATACTAAAAAGTTCAAAAAGAAGATTGAAATCTTGAAGTGGATAAAAAAGGAACTGTTAGTTATGTCTCAGGAAGAACATGAAGAAAGAGATAGAAGAGAAATTATAAAAGACAAAATACAAGGTAAAACTAGTGCACAGGTTTTCGTTTTGGTTTAGACATTGACTCTCTTCTCGTTGAACAGACAAATATATACGCTCAGTGCAGAAAAGAAAAAAAAAAAAATGCGCCCAGAATTTATTGCATTTGAAGCCTATATGAGAAGATTTTTTCGAATATTATTGCATACAGGATATCATTCTTTACCTCAAGAAAAATTTTATTGGTTTTTTGATAAGGACATTTTTGTTCCTGTTGTACGAGAATCGATATCACATTTGCATTACAGGAATATGAAGCAGAATTTGCATTTGACAATAGTCATATTGACAATACTGATAAATTATATGAGGTGAGACCATATCTAAACTTACTAAATATCACCACTTTTTACTACTGGAAATATAAAGTCTCTTTTAGATTTCAGATGCGTGAATGCATTATTCCTTTTGAAAACTCCTATTGAGAGTGTAGAATTAGCCAGAAACAGATCAGCAAATGGAAGACCTAGTAAATTCAGCATTCAAAAACCATTGCATGGAGATGGTGGACATTTTATCGTAAAGTCCGTTAATAACAAAAGACTGTTGTAAAGAGTACCATAGCCAGACTTTTTATAGATGCAAAGAATGTAATGTAGCTTTACATCATGATTGTAATCAAGTTTTTCATGCTTGAATCTTTCACATGAAATAATCTGTATTTGTAAAAGAAATACAATGTTTATTTTAGTATTAAATTAATTGCAAGTAAAGTAATTTGTAGATTTATAAAACGTTATACAGCTAAAAAGTAATCTTGCGCTCCACTCAAACGAAACATCACATGAGTACAATCCTACTTACTAAACATCCGTAATCTTATTCCGCTGACATTGCACGAACGCAACACTTGCATTTTCTACAGGTAAGAGCATTATTTTTTATTTTCAATGTAAATTTATGTTATAAATGCTTAATTTAATATTTGTTATTATTTTCATGAGAAAAGAAACATTCCTTGTAGTTTTGGTGGTTAATGGGTTAATGGAGTACCGACTGAATGAACAAAATTCAGGTAGAGTCTCGTAATAAATTTCAACCATAACTTACTGGTGGTGACATTTTTTTTTTTTTTTTCAACTGCAGAGGCTTATTTGTACTCTCAAAACATTATAGAGAAATAAATAACTGAATGGATAAATACACTGTCTTTAAAGTGTCATTATTTTCCTAATTGTTGGGTTAATGGATATATATTTCGAATTACAAAAGTATTTTGAATGATGCAAATATTCATGTTTTGGTGATCCCCCTCAAAAAAAAAAAAAAAAAAACTCTTTTGTAAAAATTATGAAATCTTATTTTTTACTGTCCTCTGATGCATATAGTCATATTTAGAAAAATTCTACCTTGTTATTAGATAGAAAAGGGGGAGACAAAAAGTTTCTATATGACAAAAATTAACCTGCATTCCAGTTTAATCAGCACAATTTGACCTCTTTCATCCACATTATCTAATATGCACAGTCATCAAAAATGAATGTTTGGATTATAAAAATACATTATATCAGAACTATTACACACACTGAAATGGTTTAAATATTAAACCATAATAAAGTAACTTTAGTTTTGTATACACACGAGAAAAAGAAATACATGAGAATTTTCTCAATATCTAAAACCAGATATTATGAGGTTGCTGAGAAATCCAATCTTACTTATAATTGCAGAGATATTTCAGTTTTGTCTTTGCAGATTTATTTAGATGGAACAAGCTTAGGTACATATGAGAAAAACACTTGAAATCTTCATCAACTGTGGCAAATGACAACACCCACTGTAAATGCAATTTTGTAATTCAATAGAAATGTTAAAAGACTGGATACAATTTTGAAGTCTGCTGCCCAACAGTGGGGGAAAAAAATGAAAATATGTTAAATTTAAGAAAAAGCTTGTGAGTATATACCAACATTAAAATCCTTTTGACATGTTTATATTTTTTAAATAGTATGTCTTTAAAAACCATCAATCTTTTTTCTTAACGACTCCAGAATATCCTCAGTGAAATTAATAATTAAAAAAAAGTTACTATCAAACAGTTCTGCAATTATACTATTGCCACTAGAAATAAAACAGCTGCCCAGACGGGAAAGTGGTTAGTGATTCTGACACTATTGTACCGAAGAGCCAGTGTTCGAATCTTGGAGAAGGCATGGATGTAATTTGTTCGTCCTTTCATAGGAGGCAATGGTTGTCTACCTATTAGATGCCTTCACAACAAATGGACCACAACTTTGGCCTAAGTAGTGGCCAACATCTATGGATTGCCTGGGCCTACCATTGGGGGGAGGGGTAGAAATAAAAAACTTTTAAATTTTGCATTTAAGTATTTTGTTAAGAATTTATATTTACTTAAATAGTCAGTAATTATAATGCCTCACTATATATAGTTTTTAGGATGCCTACGATTAATATATAAACTGAAAGTACAGATGTAAAAACCTGAAATAAATTTACAAATAATTATAAATCAGAAGATTTACCAGAGGTGAATTTAGCATTGATGACTGGTGTGACAACTGTTGACTCAACATTTTATTCTGAGTCTGTGGAACTTGGCCACTACGTACAAGTGGTGGTGGAGCGGCACTGGAGGCACCTCTGTTTGCTGTAGGAACCATTTTACCTGCCATTGCTGCAGCTGCTTGATTTATTAAGTTCTCTTTAATCATTTGACTTTGGTGTAGCTTTTTTAAGAGGACTAATTTCATTTCTTCACTCCTCAGTTCATCTCGAAGCTCACGCAGAATCCTTTGTTTTTCTTTCAGTTCTTCCGGATTCCATCTTTTTTCAGGTGGTAGAGGAGGCATCTCCAAAACCTCAGAGTCAGAATTTTTCGAATCACTTTCATACCCATTCAAATGACCATTCAGACGAGGCTTTTCTTCATCCGAGAGTACTATGACATCAGGTGATGAACAACTGCTGGCACTATTTTGCTGCTGGTCAGAGACACAGAGTCTCTTTCGCGGCAGCATACGTACATGATGGCTTGACTTGCTCCTTTTGTTGTCGTGTGTCCTCTCTATGCAGCCAGACTCTGAGGTATTAGAGGCTGAGGCTGGCTGTGCAAATGTTGAGCTGATTGAGCCACCTAATTTTCTTTCTGAAGGTGGGGGTGCTCGCCATTTGGTACTTAAGTCTATGGTTTCATCTAGTCCATAGGATGATGAATAAGAACTCTTTTCTCTACTTCCAAAATTAACAGGTTTTTCTTTCCTGCAACAGGGAAAAAAGAATAATTGCAACTCCATTAGATAACCAAAATTTCATATCACATTTCCACACAGAAAGAGCAGAAAACAATAGCATTGGGAAAGAATTACTTAAAATTGTACATTTACTTAATAAGGCCATAAGCATTAATATTTTTTTTCCTCTTAAAGAATGCTGAATTACTAATGCTAACTGTTGCAATACAAAGGTATAAATGTTATCGATTAATACCAGAATTAATCTATTGTATACATAAAGATTGTAAAGCATATGCTGAATTACTAATCAGAATTTTGCCATATGACCACAAAATTACACAAAATAATTCAGCAATCACATATGTTATAAATTTCAATTGCTACAAGGAACTTTTCACACATGAAGGTTAATGAACTAAAGCCTCTCTTTTTGAGTTTAAAACTTCACTTACTACCACCACCATCATTCAAACCGGGAGCATGCAGAGAGAGAGAGAGAGAGAAAAAAAAAAAAAAGTATAGAAACTTTAGCTATTTTTAAAAAATATATCAGAAAATTCCACCAAGACTTCAAAATAGTAACAAATGCTCTAACCTATTGACATTTTTAAACATTTTTAAGTGTGCTACACTTTAAAAAGCACAGTTATATCTACACAGACAGCGTGAGGAAAATTAACTTTACCAATGTACCGAAACTATCTTTATTTATTTTATAATTATACTCTGCTCTCCACTAACTTGTAAATTAATTAAATGCAACTGAATGGACTACTGCAACTAATTTAAACACATATGCAGAGTGTATGATTTGATAACAAATATACAACAAGAAATAAAAATACATCTCAAAACGTAACATTAATTAATTAATTTATTAATTAATTAATTTTTTTTTTTAATTTTGCAAGTCTTCAAACATTATTTTAAATCACCAAAAGTACCACCTTTTGCGGGGGTGAAAAGGAAGGAGGAGGATTTCAAGTTTGATAAAGAAATGAAACTAAAAAGTGAATCAAATAGGATGTAAATCTAACAAAATAAACTAAATTATTTTCCACAAACTCTGAAATAATCAGCATGACATATATTCCAGCCATGAATCCTTATTTTAAGATAATTTAAGTATCAAATTCGAATTTATTTACTTCAATGATAAATCTGCAGCTTCCTCAAATTCCATAGCACTGAACCCCCGAGCATGTCCTTCAGGTGTAAGGACCGATCGAAATATTGCTTTCCTAGAAATACATATCAAACAAAATGAAAATGGATAAGGTAATAAATAACAGAGAAATCTCAACAACTATTTTCACATCCAACTAAATTAACCAATTAATAACAAAACACTAAAACAGATAATTGAATTTTGTATCATACAGTCCAGTTACACAAGGTAAAAGAAAAATTAAATTATTACATTGAATACGGATCACAGTTTTTTAAAAATAATAATCATATTTAACCTTTTACAGCATGATTTTATTAACATTTTTTTTTTTCAGAATTATTTTCAATTACTTTTTACTCATTTTATCTTTTAATGCATTGATTTAAAGATATGAGTCATTAAAACAGGGTTTTATTCATATATAATTTTATGGTGTTTCCACAGTAATCACATTTGTTAAGCTCACAATGCTTAACCAAAAAATAATATAAATAGACTAAATAATAAATAAAATAGTCTGAAATTATTAAGTATTCATTTTTAAATACGTAATATACAGTAATCACTTTTGGTTAAGCTCACAGTGGTGGATTGAAATTATTAAGTATTTATTTTTAAATACATAATACACAAATTCAAATGAAAAAAAAAATGTTACATCTAAATTAAAAATAACCTTTTTTTTAGCATAAAAAATGCGTAAGATTAAACATTATACTTGTATTTCATGGTCCACTGGAAAGCAGTCCAAATGCATAGCTTTAAAAAAAATCTTTTTTTAAATAAAATTTATAACTCATCAGTTATTAAGTGCACATCTACCTTGTTGCTAATAAGGTAATGACTATCACTTTTCTTCTGTGATATAAGATAGTGTACTTTTTGTCCTAATTAAGATCCCTCCTTTCTAGCCCATTCATAAAACAGCAACTATATTGGCTATATTTTTCCGTGAGTTTCTGCTTGCAAAAGCCATTTAGAAATGATAGCTATATTTAATACATTTTCAAATAAATCTCCCCCCCATTTCTTATACTAAAGTTACTCATTCCAAAATGATTTTTATAGATAAAATTCAGTTGTTCTATGTCCTCTCCCCTTTTTTGGCATGTGAATATCATTTAGCAAATTGGATTGGAAGATGAATGCAATAATTTGCAGAAACAATTCCAATGCGACAGAAATATCAATACACTGGCAATCTGGCATGTGAATATATCATTTAGCAAATTGGATTGGAAGATGAATGCAATAATTTACAGAAATAATTCCAACGCGACAGAAATATCAATACACTGGCAATCTGGCATGTGAATATCATTTAGCAAATTGGATTGGAAGATGAATGCAATAATTTGCAGAAACAATTCCAATGCAACAGAAATATCAATACACTAGCAATCTGGCATGTGAATATCCTTTAGCAAATTGGATTGGAAGATGAATGCAATAATTTGCGACAGAAATATCAATACACTGGCAATCAAATGCCAGTATAATTGAAAGTTCGAAAGACAATTCCTTCCAACTTCCAACTCAGTGGTCTGTTTTGGATACAATCAATGTTTTAATAAATGGATTCCATAGCTTTTGCACTTCTATTTGCAAGTTCCTTTGGCAAATCATAAAGAGAGAAAACTATATTTAAGAGTGTTAGTAACAACTGACAGATGATTATTAACAATCCCAGAATGAAACAACGTTGTTTAATTAAATTCCTTTCTTGCTTAAATTCCCATTTTATATAGATAACCAATAATAGCACAAATCATTCAAATTTTGAATCTAAAGTAAACTGGTTTTTTGTTGATGAATATTTAAGAAGAATGGTGACTGAAATATGGATCCATTTATTTGTGAATTAATTTAGCTGAATTTTTGTCTAATTTATTATTAGTATGCAGTAGATTCCTGGGAAATAACAACAGATTCAGCATCTATCACCAATTTTCTCTCTTAGATCATTTTTGATGTCCTTAATAAACATAGAATTCCTTCTTCATTTTTTAAAATTATTTATTTATTTATTTTTAAGGAGAATTAAAAACTGCTTTTTGTCTCTCAAAAAGTTTTCTCTATAACTTGTTCTTCAGAATTATTTTTGCTATTTCACCATAAATTAAAATACTAGTTTGTCCATTAACATTAGATAGCATAATAGGACCGAGAATACTTGTCATCAATATTATCATCTTCAGTTTCATCAACAGATAGTTAGCATAAAATTGTTTGCCACAGATTTTAGTAGAGAGACTAGATAGTGGGCAAATAGATACTGATGTCGCTTTATTTCCTGAAGAACATTCCACTTCCTAATGAAGAGGGACCTGTACCTGTTCACCCCAGAATTGATAATGTTTTGACTGAACTCTATGTCAAACTCAAGGTTGTTGCTTTGCTAATTTTATATTTTAAATTGGCATGTTTCTCTTTTGTCCAGATAGTTACGAGTTTCCACTAGTTTCATTAAGAGGTATCTAACAAATTTTATGTTCTTCCTAAGAAATAATCTGTGTACCCAAATCCTTAATTGCCATCAAATATTCAACAGTTTTTTTTTAAATCTAACACGAGAAATAATTGGACATGTGAAAATCTGTTAAATACTGTATACAAATACTATGCATCAAATGTGGTACTCTGTGTGTTGGCAGGAATAGTCCCCCCCTGCATATAACAGTTCAAATGGAACATACCAAAGGCAAGGTTTTAAGGCTTAAAAGGAACTGTTCTATAAAAGATAGAGTGTTCGAATATTCCAATTATGTATCTCTCTGTAACCCATATAGAAGGCACCCAGCAGTAAATCCAAAAATCAACTGTATTGCAAAAGACACATAAACTAGAGACTACTACCGATGCATATATACAGATGGCTCCAAAATGAAAGAAGAAGTCAGATGTGCATACTTTAATTTCTCAAGTTAAAATAATTTGAAAAGCTAAAGTTAGAAATCAAAACAGTATTTTTCAAGCTGAGTTATCAGCAATAAAAATGGCCCTAGATTATTGTACCAAAAACTAACAAAAAAATATTCAAATATATACAGATAGTCAATCCACGATTCTAGCTATGAAAAATACTAAACATCATTGTCCAATCATTCAAGATATCTATGACATCTCCATCTCAAATCCTGATATACAACCTACTATTTCATGGGTTAAATCCCATGTGGGGATTTCTGAAAATGAAGAAGCAGATGAAGTGGCACAATCTGTTATTGCTGACACTGATGCAGAATTAATAACTCCCTCTTGGCCCAAATCTCAGCTAAAACACCAACTTAAATGCCTATGGGAACAAGTATGGGAAGAAGAGTGGAAAAATAGTGAGAAGGGGTGAAAAATCGTGATAAGTGACTCTTCCAACTTCAACCTCACAGCAATATAGACAACCTAGCATGAATCAATTGGTTTATGATAGGACATGGGCCCTTTCCCCACATATTTTTACGAAAGAAACATAGCTCATGCCGAGCAATGTATATGTGGGAAAGGATACCGAGTTTGTGCAATTCTTTGACTTGTTATTTTGGCTTTGTGTAGCGGCGATTTTAGCAACGAAAATCGGCACTACACAAAGACAAAAAACAAATCAAAGAATTGCACAAACTCAGTATCCATGTATACACTGGCCTATTTTTACTTAAAAAATATCACAGAATTGCATGAACTAAAAAATATCACAGAATTGCATGAACTAGGCATTGTGCACTCCTTTGACTTTATCCATGTACATGTCGACCTATTTTCACTTAAAAAAAACATCAGAGAATTGCACAAACTAGGTATTGCACACTCCCTTGACTTGGCGATAAATGAAACAACTTCACAATAATACAAGGGGGTACCCTTCAGTCTACTCCAACCTTTCTAGTTTGATCAAAATTTTTGTATAGCTCTGTTTTCCACACCTTTCTCTTTGCTCTCCTTTCAAAGCTTAGCTATTCAACACTTTTCAATAAAATTATTGTTAATAAATGCTTATTTTTTGAGAATATAAATTAGTTACTCTAAACAACTATACCATTAAACCAAATTTCAGGAATCAATATGGTTCAGTATTCAGACAAGACTAACCTCTTAATTCAAGTATCAGAGATCGATTCAATTCAACTTTAATTACCAAGCTTATACACAAGCTTCCTAGGTCATTCCAAAAAATTGCTAAAATTATGCCCAGAAAAGGTTATGATGGTCAAGATGGCATTATCAGGGCAGCGAGCTCAGTTACTTAACATTATGCAATGCAACTGTTATTCCTCTTTATTTCTTCAAAAGATAGACATTATTTTAAACTATTCCAACAAAATAATTCCACAAGCATAAGCTTAAGGAATTATACAGTTCAGAATCTCTTGTTCTAAATACCCACAACCAAGCTGTTAACATAAGCCTTATGGATCAATCTGGTTTAAGTGCTAACCTACTATGATATGGCATCAACTGATTTCAAGCCTTCCCTGAAAAGCTGCTCTTATACACAGGGTCAGCAGCAAGCCAATATGGCCATGCCAGATGGCAGAAAATAGTAGCCATGGAGAATGTATATGCCAATAAAAATTTCAGCCCTGCTTATACATGGAAAAAGCTACAAAAACCAGGACAATCAGAATAATGCAAAAAAAAAAAAAAAAAAAAAAAAAAAAAACAGCTGGGTTATTGAAGGGAGACAATTTTTGAGAGCACTATGAACAAGCATTTGTAGGGACCTGGCAATGCTGTTTTAAAAGATAATGAATAAGCATTTAAAAAAAAAATTATGTAACTTTTTGAAATTAAATTATTTCTCTGATATTTAAAAAACTTTTACATCTCTTCACATAATATCTGTATAAGCCCATTTTTGATATGGTAGTTGGTATTTCGAGCAAACTTAACTGTGTTCTGCTTCAATTTTAATTTAAAGAAAATACATAGATTTAAAAACAATCCTTAAGTAGTTATTTAGTAATCAATTTTAACACTCGATTTCAGTAAAGCAGAAATCGGAAGACATTAACACGTCTCCTATTCATTAACATTTATAAGGAAATATACAATTTCTTTGAAGATATTACTAATATCCAGTAAATAAACATAAGAATTTGAGGCACACATCTAAAAAATTTCATAAATTATTACAATACTCAATTACAATGAAATTCTAAATTATTTTATATACTAACAGGCCAAGTAAAATGTCCATTGCAGTTAACTTAAAAATTTTAAATTCAAAAACTGCAGAATCAAATTTTTTCAGGAGATATTAACATAACTGAAATACAATATTTATAATTTAACAAACTTCTAGTTAAGTTTAATACATGGTACGTTACAGAAAAAAAATAATTTATGCATCTTATTAAGAAAAGGTTACATAAACAAACAAAATACCTTTATTTAGTCTTTATAAGTCTTTACGTCTCAAATTTAAAAAAAAGTACAAAGTGTTAGTTTTACTAATTACCTGCTTTGATTTCCAAACAACCCAGCAGCAAAGTAGTCTGATGGACCATTCCATTCTTTAGGCATTATTGATACCTGAAAAAAAATTTACCTTTGGTTATTTATAAAAAAAGATATGAACATTTAAAAAAATTATTCTTCCTTAAATACTTAGTAGGACAGTTATGATTTATTTGTGTTGGCAAAGCACACAAGGATGACTTCATGGAAGCCACTCTGAGAGAGAATGGCTCACATATACATTACACTTTTGAAGGATCACAAAAACAAAGCCATGGTATGCTGAATGCCTGAATGCTGGTAAAAAAATTACCTTAACTACTGACATGAAGATAAAATCTGTAATTTGGATAAAGGTTCCAAACTTCATCTATTCTTTTGATTTAATTAAGAGTAGAAGCTTGTAACATAAAGCCTTTCCCACACACAACAGTACAGTCAAGAGATGCAAAAATAGAGTCAAAATTATGCATTTTGCTTAAAGCTATTTATTCTCAAAGGATATTAAAATGATTACTAGGCAATAATTAAAAATTTCTTGTCAGTCTAAAATTTTCATTATTGATTAAACAATCAAGGGAAAATACTTATATGTTTGTCTCATTTTATTTCAGGAGCATTAATTTTCTATTTTACTTGCAGTGAGGGATTTCATTTCATTTTATTCAGTATTCATTATGCATTAAATGAAATACAATATCCATCCATCCATTTTTTGTAACATATTTTAAATTAAAAAAAGAACCTGGAATACTTAGGCTCATAAAATTTTCATACTCAAAGAATCATTATTTAACTGTAGTATGTAGTTAAAAATACTTTTACATTTTCCATTAGGAATGAAATTTTCATGCATTGCATTATTCTTATTTATAAACTAATGCAATTTTGCATTACAACTAGACTATAACAATGTTTTACAGAATCTCCCCCTCCCAAATTCTGGTTACCTGGCAACTAATATTTATTAAACCTGTACTTGTCCATCACTGTATAATGTGAAGTAAATTCTCATTAAAAAAAATATTTGTTTAGTTACTCTCTTAGAATGGTAAAAAATTGTTGACTAAAATGAAAAGTAACAGGAAGAACATTACACCCTAAAAGATTTAATGCAAAATGTATTATTATACATAGATTAAAGAATATATATTTAAATTGGTAAATATGCATATACAGATATAGCATGAGTTACTTATTTTTAATGACATTATGTATGATGGCAATAATTTACTGTAATAAAACACTTCTAAAACTAAAAGGCCTTATATTGCTTTACACTCCTTTCTTTTTACTTTTCTCAAGTTTCCTGTCTTAGAAACTCCAAGCAATGTTCCCTTAAGACACATGGTATATGCATAATTATGAATATCAAATCTATATTCCGTTTTTAATATACACAATGACATAAAAGGTTTTCTCTCATAGAGAAGAATTTGTGTAAGTATTAAAATAAGAAAGGCAGTGGAATTCAAGAGCAAGCAATATTTGCTTATGCCTCATATTCAAATTTAACATCATCATCCAATGGCTATTCCTAGAACAATGATTCTTAGAATCAATAAATATCTTACTATGTTATTCATAACTTATTCTTTATATAACTATTTATTCCTTAGGTTCGAAAAAGATTCTTAACTAGGTGAAGAACACGGGGAAAAGGCTGCCATAACGCAATGCAAAATGCAAAGTTCATGACATGCTCCAGCAGAATGGGAGGGGGGGAAGCGAGTATTGAGCAAACAGACGAGAAACTACTTAAAAGAATTTCGAGCAGCCATCTTGCGCGACGCTTTCCGCCAAGTCGCCTTTTTTCCTCCCTCCACAATTTCCTCCTCCCCTTCATGATAGAAGCTGCGAGGAAGAAACAAAGGGCTTTGGGCTATTGATCTTTGTTATCCGACCACCACTTTTAAATGCACGGTCACATGACCCGGCTAAGGTAGAGCGAGGTGATCACGTGATCAAACTGACCTGCCCTAACCAGTGGGCATATTTCCTCCAAGAATTTAAACTACCAATGCACAACATAAATAAAAACCCTTTACGCAAAAGTCGTTTAGTTCTAGAAAAAGCCAAGCAAATAATCTTGCGATATTTTCCCTCCTCCCATACTCTAGACACTAGAGAACACCCCCTTCCGCCCACTTTTTTTTTATCGATCTTCCTCCATGCGCACACGAGACGGGTTTTTTTTTCAAATATCCGCCCCCCCGGTAATCCACGATTCACAGTTAAAAGCAAAGCAAAGAAGCAGCAGAAGTGGCACAAAATATCGATCTTTTATATCGTTGTCTTTTATCGCCGGGCTGAAGACGCGCGCCAGACATTTTATTTGCCACGAATTCAGAGCTTTGGAAGGCACGCCTCGTACATGTACATTGCGCCGCAGGGGTTTTTTAGTAAGAGGTTAATAACAACGGCATGGCATTAGCATGTCGGAGGTGATAACGCAACGTTCTTAAAAAGAAAGGGAAAAAAATCTTGTTTTATTCAAGCATTATTTCTGGTTCGGCGATCTCCAAGTCATTTTTCTTTTTTCCCTTCTCCTTATGCACGATGCCCTACATTTCAACATTTGCTATTTTAAGCTGGCAGTAAATAAAACCTCAACTTGCACGAATCGCAGTTAAGGGTGACTATAATTGAGTCTTGCGCTATCTTTCAGATTTCGACTGATAGCTAACGTAGCTTGGAACATTTAATCCCGCAGCGATACAAAAACAGAAGTAATTTTCACTATTTTACAGCTCACAAGTGAAAGATTTAAACACTGCTATTCACACATTCATAAAAAACATAAAATAAAGAGTAGAACATTATTCTAAAAACTGTATTGTAATCATTAAAGCAGATCACTAAAGCTTTATATAAAAACTGAACATTCAGCGTTATCAAATAAAATATGCAACTACCAAAACATTCAGCAAGATAAATCATCTCTAAAATATAAATTGTATGTAAAGCTGTATAAACAAATTAACTCTGATATCACACATCCCTAAAATAAAAATTGTATGTAAAGCTGTATAAATAAAGTAACTCTGATTACAACTCGAAACAATTTTGCCGATACCAATTTTTTATTAAAACGATAATAAATAAGTGATGTAATGCAATATGTCATAATTCAAAACTAAAATGCTACTCTAAAACCATTTTAAATAGTTAATTAAATAAATAAATAATGAAAAACTAATAATAATTTTTAACCGGTACTGATATGAAAGAGAAATTACTTATTTTAAATAAAAAGTCCTCCAGAAATTCTTAAAAAGGGGAATTACCCTCAATGGATAAATCTAAAATCAATAGGGCACAAATGCATTATTTACTTTTAACTTTAGCAAAGATTAAATTACTAATGAGCCGTAAGTTCAACATTTATGAACATCAGAGATGCCACAGAACTGCTAGACGTATTTTAGGATTCTCTTTCCTATGTCAGTGAAAGAGGAAATGTTCCATAATTGTCACATAAATTTATTTTCACTCTAATTCAAACATTTAAATTACTAATTTCACATCAAACATGCTGCTCAGAAAAATTGTTCACACTGTATCAAGATCGAAACTAGTCTCGTCTCAAGTAGCTGGCAAGCTTTATTTATGCGACTGTTTCTGACACATCTGAACTAAAAACTAATTAAAAAAAAAATCTAAAATAATACAGTTACAATAGGAAACGATGGAATACAAACTGGGTAATTTTTAGACAAGATTAATATAACTATTAAAAACAACCAGCAAAGATTAGGGTTCGAATATGAGTTCAACCGGGTTCGAATTTCGGTGAACGAGCTGACTGCATGGGGATTTTCATGGTTTCCACCGTATATGACGTGAACATGAGTTATTTTCTTTTTGAAGCCCTCTACGAAGGTACCCTCTCTTTAACTAAATAGTCTACACGTGGTTTGCCGTAGCCTTTTCATTTTGAAAAAATAAATAAATAAATAAATAAATGCTTTCAAAAACAGAAGGGGAGACCGGTGATATAAAAGTGGTAAAAAAATATTCTAATCAGCTTAAACTGACAGAAAACAGACGCACATACTGCTTTAACAGAAAAAGCAGAATATGATAAGGCAAAAAGGGATTACAATGAGACAGAAAAGCAGAATATGACTTTTTTATTCTACTTTTTTGACAGATTAAGGACAAAAGCATTGTCGTAATACGATTCCAATCGGTTTTAGCTCACAAATTCATTTCCGGCGCTACACAAAACGTTAAATGTTGCACAACACATCATATGCAAATCTAAATCAATATATAACAGAATTCCAGTTTTCCGGACTAACTGAAGTTAAAGCTAATCAGGGAACTGGTAAATCCGCATACACTATTTAATATTTTGGGATAATTAAACATGTATTTATCATAACGTAAGCGAAAGCATTCCATTTTCCCGTTTATCGTATTTTATTTCCATAAAGCTATTAAGTCAAAAAATATTTATATTTCCGTAAAAAGAACACAGCACGTGCTTTCATTGATAAAAACCAAACAGGGAAACCATTTTTTATTTGCATTAATATAAATCCATTTCTATTTCAACTAAATAAAAAAATTGAATGTGGCCACCACATGACCTTCCTCGTACGGCCAATTAAATTACACACTTTTTTTTTTTTTGTTGCACTTCAATTAAACTTATTTCGGCGAATTGTTGTAACTTAATTTATTGATCCCTCAAGGCAAGTTGAAAATGACATCAACAATTGCAAATTTTTTAAATTAAATATCTCGGTCAATTTTTGGCGTAGGGGGGGGCAAACATCATATACACTTGAATGCAAACTTAATAGAATTTACATATTACGCCGAATTTCTGAAAAACTAATGGGCAGATTTCAGTGAAATCCATTTACGAATATATATTTGTAACAAAGAAAAATATGTACCATCTAAAGGTCATTTCATGCACAGATGATTATCAGAAAAGCTCATTGTGCAAGAATGTCTGAAGTCTACATTGTGATATCAAACTGAAAAGGAGTCTAATATGGAGTATGGTCCCTCTGACAGCCACACATGTCGCGCGAGGTGACTCCTACAGCAAAACGGTTTTC